AGATAGGAGGTGGGGACCACAGTAGTTATGTGAGTCCAAATTTTATTATGTTTTTTGAGTGTTATATATGTTGTTTTATGTTTTGCCACCCTATAAGGGCATAGTTGTCTTTGTACTGTTCTATTATTTTAGTATAAATAATAAGTGAAGGGGGCGGCCAGATTATTGCTCTCTTTTCTTTTCATCTTCTCTTCTTCTCTTATTCTCTTCTTCTCCTTCTCTCCTCCTCCTCTCTTCAACAAACTACTTTCTTTCATATTTTTTAATTCAACATATTCCTATTGTAAAGAAGGGGAAAAAATAGTGCAAGCATTTCTACTTAGCATTTTTAAGAATGATCAACTTGAGAAAAGATTAGGATGTGAAGTAAATTATCACCTGAAGGTTTGACCATGGCTGAGTGGTGTTCTGCACACTTGGACTTCCAATATTTGTACTTTTCTTTTTGATCAATAATAGATAATTTATTAGAATATAGAGGATATGGACTAGGGGTGCAAGTTGGGTGGGTTGTGCTGGGTTTAAGCTAAACCTAGGCCCAACCCTAGGAATTGAGCCTAAGGCCCAAGCCCGGTCTATCCAACCCAGGCCCAACCTGCACTAAAATTTGATGTACTTGGATTGGGCTTGGGCCTAGGCTGGGATTGGGTTGGTCAATCAGCCCACACTAAAATTTAACATAAATGTGTATGTTTATGTATGAAAGTATGCAAATATGTATGCATATTATACTGCTATTAAAAGTGTGGATGAAAGTGTGAAACTTTTGTTTAACTAAAATACCTCAACTTTTTAAGTTGGTTGGTCTCTAATTGTAAGGATAAAAATATAATTTGAACAACCACTTTTCTCCTTATTCAAATCCCTCTCATTAATTCTTATATTTAAGGTATTAACTCTCATTAACATTCATTGAATTGTATTCTTGACTACAATACCCTATTTTCGAATTTGGTCCCTCTTTAATTGTAAGGACACAAAATGTAATTTGAACTACTATATTTCTCCTCATTCGATTCCCTCTCATTAAGTCTTATATTTAGGGTATTAACTCTCATTCTTTCATTGAATCCTATATGAATTAACCATATTAAAGAAAAATAAGTTTGACAAAGAATAATTGATTTTATTGATGACAAAAATAAAATGCAAATTTAAAAACCAACAAAAAATGGAGTTGTTTTTCTATTTGGTAGTGAGTCAACAATCCAACCGTTTTTGGGTCAAATGTGTAAAACCTTTTATTTCATAATTAAATAATAATAATAATTAAAAAGATGAAAACACATAAAAGTATAAAAATACAAAAAAAAAATGTAGAAAACATTTGGGTGTATCTCTAATATCATATATTCATCATATTAAATAAAAGTATCACAAATAAGTAATTTTTATAGACATAGAAATATAAAAAGTTGTAGAAAATGTTGGAAACCTATTATTTACTATCATCATTATCATCAAACATAGCCATGGCCAAAGCACATGCTCACTTACTAGTACATATATATGTGTACAAATATGTGTGTGTGTGTGTGTATATATATATATGCATGTATGTATATAGTTGGGCTGGGTTGGGTTCGGGCCGGGCTCAAGCTACCGAAGAGCTAGGCCCGGGCCCAACCCGAAAAATATAAAAGCCCAAATTTTGGGCCCAGGCCCAGCCCGTGCAAAATTGCAGTTGAGTCGGTCTTGGCTTAGGTTGGGCCCACCCAAGTTGAACCCCCAATATGGACCTAAATAACTGAAAGGGGGGAAGGCAGTTCTGAGAAGATCCTAATCCAAATTCCAACCTCATTCGTCTAACTCTTTTCACAACGGAAAACCACTGTAACATTTTAAATTCCTCAATTCCCTTCTTTTACTGGAATTTGAGAGAAGAAATCAGAGAACCCAAATATCATGAAAATATACTTTTCCTTTTCAAAAAAAAAACATTAAAATATTATGTAAATATATAAGGAAATTATCCAAAAACCTAATTGCAGTAAGCATCAGAATCTTATATGTGCGTGTGAGCATTTGTGTTTTCAGAAAAGAACGAAAAATAACCAATCTAACCCCTTCATATTTTAGTGAAATTCTATTTCATTTCTGTTTCATTTTTTTAATTAGTCACTGCTTAAAAAAGAGCATTAGATCTGCAAATTTCATGGATGAAATACCTTGACTATCATCATTCCATCTAAGTTCCTTGCACCACCAGGAATTCTATCCCCAGCTTTCCTCTCTATTGGTTTGGCTTCCCCAGTCAAGTGTTCAATGGTAATTGTCGATCTCCCTTGTAAAACTTCACCATCTACAGGCACCGACTGAAAACCAGTACAAGATCCAATTATCAAAACCTCAGCTTACAAACATATGAGGAACACTATGCATAATTATCCCTGTTAAGAATGCTATCCTGCAATTACAAATGAACATATAGAAGGAACATGATTAAATTTCACCAAGTGAAAGAGGTACTTTTTTACACAAGTTGCTGTGAATGAAACTTGATGGTTTCTTGCCATCACTTCTTTTATAGATAAAAGAAAAATGATACCATTATACAAATTTCATTATCTGAGAGCAGAAGAATGCATATAGAAGCCCTCAAATATATGAGTGTCATCTGTATATTGGAAATTCAATATGCTAACCCAATGGAATTAGAAGCAGTTTCATTAGGGAGATGAAAGCTTTGGCTTCTAAAGTGAAAAATTAAATTCAGATGGACTCCAGGATCTTTCAAATTAGTGGCAAGATAGCATAACTAGGAGGGAGTTCAAAATAGTGCATTATAGTTGGATTTGATATTCCAGGGTAGTTTGGTTTGATGTAATGGTTGTCCTTCACTTTCTTGTATTGTTTTCCACAATTTTCTGGTAAATAGTAAAAGAATCACTAAAACAAATTTATAGAATAAGATGACGAAACACCCCAAAAACCAAAGTCTTACCAAAATGAGAGGCAAGAATACGTAATTAATCATCACTAATAAGAACTAAGTCATTCCAAAAGTTTCTTCAGAAGAGGACTATCCACATTTTGAAGTTTGGAAGGACCAAATTCCAGTCAAGAATAAAGTATTCAACATCTCTGCACAACCTCTTTTTTGGCCTTCCCTTTCCCTCAAAAATTCCTATTCTTGTTCCTCTAAATATCCCTCAACTGCGAATAATAATAATAATAATAATAATAACAACAACAACAACAACAATAATAACAAAAAAAACAAAAACAAAATACTGTTACTAGGCTGCTGCCATTGCCCCCAAAAATATGGGTGCAACTTGGGCCTGGTTAGCCCAACCGAAACCAACCCAGGGTCAGGTTCAAGGTGCAGGCTTAGGGTTGGAAAAACATAAGCCCAACTTAACTTCAGGTTGGAGGCTTTAGGAAGGTTTGTTGGGCAACTATCCTAGCAGCAATTTTGTGAGCCATATGGCAAGAGAGGAACAGCAAAATCTTTGAAGAGAAGTCAAATTCTGAATCGAGGGTGATCAATATGGCAATAGAGGAACTAAAGAGTTTGCTATCTGCACACAATATATTAATGGATGATATGTTTTCTTCTTCTTTCTTGAGGGCAGACTTTTTTGGGGTCCCTAATTGGCTTATGCATGTACAGCATCTCATTGAACAGAGGACCAGACACTTTTTGATATTAATATAATACATTATGCTTTACCTTTCTAAGAAAATCGCATTAGTATTCCAAACCACGGTTATGAGAACATTTACAATCCTTTGTCCAATTTTCAGAATATAGCACACATTCCAACTACTTGTTCAACAAAAGAGATATTCAGGGTCGCAGCTATGTCCTACACATGCTTCATCCCTGTATTCATGTAAACTCTTGCTGACAAAGAGTCTAGAAAACATTTCAAAATTTTTTTGTTTCACGGTGTCAGACAACACCATAACCATAAAATGAAAATCGAAAGTAGATCAAAGGTTCACCTCTCTATCTCCAAAAAGCAATATAACCTAGCTACATCATGCATGTCATGAGAAGCTCAAACATCAATGGGTCTCAGAAAACAAATATTGAAGATGGTCCCTGCTTCTTGCTCTTGGGCATCTTCATACCGACAATATAATGCCATTGAACTAAACATCACAAGAATGGACAATGATAAATATAAAAAATAATGGTTTCATGCACACAGACCTCACCAGCTCTGACCAAGATATATGAGCCCACTTCTAGGTCATGCACAGGAACTCTTTTGTATGATAAATCTGAAAAACGAGGCACTTTGTCACCTTCCACTTCCAGGACAAGAACAAAATCCGGATAGTTCTCTTTCAACTCCTTGACATCAACCATTGAGCGACTTGTGAAATATTCTTCAGCTGTCAATTACACTACAAATAAGACAGCAAACCTATAATCTTGAAATGTAACAGAGGATCTAGTGTGAGATGTTTACCAATATGGGCCAGATTAAACATAGCAAGAAGTAGGCCTCCTTCCAAGGAGTTCCCCATGAATACGGATGCAAAGGCAGCAAGAGCCATGAGGACATGAATGTTCACTCTGCCAGCAGTAATATCAGTAAGAGCATCAAGTGCTGCTGAGACCTGACAAAAAGAAGGATGTAAATTACTAGCTACAAGGCCAATAAAATCATTAACCAGATGATAAAGGAGCACAGCCTGTTATTGCTGTTCAAATGACTAAAGAAAAATGATAAAGACCTATAATATGCTCATAAATTATCTTGTAAAAAGAATGATGCAAGCAGAAATTCAGGGGATAAACATTTTACCGTCAGAATGATACAAATATAGAAAAGGGAACTCAAATAATACGAATAGTATACAATGAAACCTACTCAAGGAAACCTAGATTTTCCCATAACAATAAAAGCTAAAGCAGATTACAGATACACATTGTGCCTTTTGCATATTCATATGTTTTTTTCTACTATACTTAATAAGAATAACAATAAAAAGAAGATAGCAAGACAGTGTAAGGCAGGGGTAACACCTTGCCTAAAATGCTAAGATGCTCAGATATAGAAATGATAAAGGAAATGGGTAAGAGCAAAACCATATACAACTCTCCAAGGATATCCAGCACACAGATATGAATACAGGTTTTCCACCAGATATGTCGATGCCACACTTTCATATTTAGCTTTTCAGGCTAAAATGTTATTTCTAAATACTTGTATCTTGTCAAATTCCTCCAACATCTACAAAGTGTTTATAATATTATACATTAATAAAGACAAATGCATGCAATGAAGAACAGGTATCCAGGTACATATTGCAACCAATACAGTTAAGCTAAGCACAAATAGACATCCAGGTATCATATACATACAAATGTCTAAATGAAAAGCCAATTCTCACTGTAATATCATGCTTAAAGCTTTAAACTTCTCAAAGAGAGTGCTCCCAATGAGGATATTGATTTTTCTCTCCAAGACTCCAACAACAAGCCTCTATCTTGTGACTGAAAGAAAAGAGATTCCTCTTCAAGCCCTCCTGAACTACCACCTCCTCAAAAGTCCCTTGAATACTTCCGTCTCATCAAGAGATTTTATACCCTCTACCACCATTTATGTTTTTGCTTCCACATTGCCAAACACAATTCCACCCCTTCAGTTTTCTTTTTTGCAATCTCGACTTCTTATGGAATATCTTAGCAATATACTTTTGGACCACAGAGATCATCAGCACAACAAAAAACTCCCTTAAAACAATAAACATGATATAACAAAATGAAAGCTAAACTACTGTAGCCGAAGTATCARAAAAGAGAAGAAGAAGAAGAGATGCTGGAATGTCGAACTGACTTTTCCCAGTCGACAGTACTATTATTTATATTAAAGTACAGTACAATGTTACATGAAATGACTGGGATGCCCCTGATTAGTGATGGGACACCCAGACAACTTAAAACACTAAACAGACTTAGGCCCATTAACACAGGCCCAGTACATAACAACTTAAACTCAAATACAGGCTAATAAGAACTCTTATCAGCCGAACCATCCATACATACAAAACCTTCAACCTAACACAAAATACGCCTCCTGAACCATGTTATCAAAAAAAACTCCTTGTAGTCCCCCAAAAAGACAAGGGAAAAGAAAAGTAAAGATCTAAATCACTTTAAGTGCATCAAAAAGCATATTATAGAGTCCCTAGAGAAGTAATTGACAGGTTTGGAGGGGGGAAAGTAGGTATATTTATGGCATTAGAGTTATGGATTAGCAATCAAGTTAAGAACTCAAGGATAGGAGACAAATGAATTTCCAAATACAATGGGTTTACAGCAAGGGTCAGCACTTAGTTCATACCATTCTACATTAGTTATAAATAAACTAACTACGAGTTTACAGGAGGCATGATCCGATGATGATAGTATAATATTGATTGACAAAACTAAATATAAGTTGAATGTAAGGCCAGAATAATGGAGAGATGCTTTAGAGTCAAAAGGTTTCAAAATGCAGGGTCTGAACTCAGCTCATAAAGTCAGTGATTTTATGTGCTTTAGAGTAAGGAATTCTGATTTTATGGAATCCTCCAAAATGTTGGTGGTTTTATAGAATCCTCCAAAATGCAAGGACTGTGCTCATAAAATCAATGATCTTTTTTATTTCAGTGGAGGTAGAGTTCAAAGAGGGGGTTAATTGCCAAATTACCAATGTATACAGGCCTACATAAGATGGCAGCCATGGTAAATTCTGGGAAGAGTTAGCTGAAGCTCAGGGTGATTTGAAGATTTCGTGGGTGCTTGGAGGTGATTTAAACACAATCACATTTTCTAGAGAGAAGAATGGGGGTAGTCATATCACCAAAGCAATGAGACAGTTTGGGGATTTTGTCCAAGGTTTTGAACTGATTGACCTTCCCTCTAGCAGGATCCCAATTCACTTGGATGAACAATCAAGAAAGTCCAATCTTGGTCATGCTAGATAGATTCTTAATCTCAAATCATTGGGAAGAACTTTTCCCTGTTACCTCCTAAATAGCTCTTCCTTGCCTAGTTTTAGATCATGCCACACTTCTGCATACTAGTAACTCACAGGTGAAGAGGAAAGTTCACTTCAGACTGGAGAATGTTTGGTTTGAAGGGGCTGGGCTCTGTGATCTAATAGCCTCAAAGTGGTCTGAGTCACAACTGAAAGGAACTGGTTTCTATATTTTGTTGTTAATAAAATAAAATTTATTAGAAGAAAAGGAGATTGATACAAGCAAGGTGACTAGAGATCACCTAAGAGAAAAAAAAACAAAAAAACCTCCAGACTCCATCCAAACCTCCCTAACCAAAAACAATCAAAACACGCCAACAACCCAAAAAAAAAAAGCAGAATCTCGAAACACCAAAAGGCACCAACAAACCATGCAAACCACCACCCACTAAAAACCAGGTCAGGAGCTTTCTACATCTTTACAAGCCTTCTAGATTTCAATAACTTCTTGTTTGGCCCAATCCTGAAAAGACCCTTTTTAAGTCTAGTAAAGACACTTGAGACCAACACCTCTCAATGCTTCCTCTTCCTTCTAAATCTGCTAACTGCAAGAGAGTTCTTCCTACGCTTCTTTGCCTCTTTAAAATCCCCATTGATTCTTTCCAACTCTAACACCAAATTCCTCTCAAAAACTGGCTTGGTTCAAAAACCACAATATTTTTCTCAACATCTCCAGTTATACCAAAGTACCAAACAAACTTTGAACATCAAGACTTACTTCTGAGATTGAGTAATATCTTCTCCAAGACCTACATCATTTTCCTTAATTGGTATAAGATACTTTTCTGCCAACTGTTTGAGCATCTTCTTGACACAACCCTCACCCCCTAGAAAAATTATTCCCAGAGCTTTGCAACCTTCAGCTTTTGTATTCATAATCTTTTCCAAATCAACTGAAATTTCAACTACATGGGTTTCATCACATGCAATATCCTCATTACTTGACAATCTATCTTCTTCTTCATCCTCTTTTCCTCCTTCATTCTCTTCCACCATTGTATTCTCACTCCTCTCTAAAGCTGGAAATGTTCTGTACTTCCTTTTCCTTTTAAAAGCCTTTAAATTCTGTGATTTTTTCCTTCTCCCCAGACTTCCTGCTTTCAAATCCTTCAGGCTCACCCCCTTGCTTTTCTCCCTGTAACACCTCCAAGATTTCCTCGTCGCCTTGGTTCTCTTTTCTATTTGTCAACACTCAACACCATATCACCAACACCTTTACCGCTAACCATTTCTTCATACAAAACTAAATCGCTTCTCTGATGAGCGGTCCCTCTGCCTCCTCCCTTATGACCTCCCTTATCTCACCAACTTCATCTCCTGCTTTTCCTTCTACCACATTTTCAAAAGAACCTTCTGAAACACTAACCAGATATGCAACTTCTTCGTTTATACTTCGCTCCACAATTCTTCTATCAGCCTCCCCTCTTGTTAAAATTTCAAAAACTTCCTTTACTTCAGTCCTAACCCTTTCTTTGTTGTCCTCATCAATACCCCCACTCCTACTTGAAAACTTTGAGAATATTGAGAGTGATCAAAGTTTCCTGCCTCATTTTCACTGAAACCAACACTTGAAAAAAAAAATCCCCAAATCACTCTCGACTTGCCAGACAACATCTTCCGTGCCTTTTTCTTCTTCAAGGAGAATCTTGCTTACTTTTTCTTGAACGATTGTCTCCTTACCACTGTTATTTCTAACAGCCTTGAAAGAACCTTCCTCTTTGTAATTGTACCTGTGATGTGCCAAAGGAACTCACTTTTCCCCCTTACCTCAGTCTGTTTGCCTGCCAAAACCCTCAAGCCACCAACACTTCCTCAGAACTCCCTCTGTTCCAAATGCTTCTCCTCTCTTGAAACATCAACAGAACTTTGGGCCAAGGGTTTACTTGAGCCGGCCCAATTATCTCCTCTTATTGGCCCAAAATAATTAATATCTGACCCACACCCACACCCCATTCTAAACCCATAAATTACAACATGGTCCTTCAAGTTTTCCAAAATTACAGATTCACTCTCGTATGATCCCAACCCCTCGACTTCCTCCTCCCCCTGTTGCCCTAACTATTAATCTTCCCTTTTCCTCGGCAAAATCCTAATCTTCATTACCTCCCCCACTTTCCTTCCTCTTTCTCTATCCATGCTCTTACACGAAGCGAAGGTGGGATCACTACTTCTCACCACAATCCTTAGCTCGTATATCTCCCCAGAATAAATCAAGAAGCATTGGAATTGACCTGGTATCTCTACTTCTCACCACAATCCTTAGTCTGTTGCAAAAGTCAAAACGCTTGAATCTCCCATAGGCATTCCCAATTTCTATAAACACTTGAGTGCTCCACACATGCAACGAAATACCAAACACCTCAATCCAAACAAATGTCTTCTTGTCTGCAATTTTCCCTACCTTTGGAACCCATCTATCTAATCTTTAGCTCTAGGCATCTCTATTGCCTTCTCTACATCAATCATGAGAAACCCAAATGAAACCATTCAAATCCTGCCCATCTCTCAACATATACACTATCAGGATCTAAAAATAAAAATCTCCCAACTAAGCATCTATGAAGAAATTCCAACCATTCCTCTAAGAATCTCAAATCCTTCACTACAACCTTTTTCAAAGCCATACTGTGATACTGATTAGCGATCACTGCTGCGGCATCAACCGTTCCTCTAAAACTAATGATCAGAAGTCACCATTGCAACATCAACCGCTCCCCTAACACTCCAAGACCATCATTGTAGTTCACTTTTCCTTCTTTTGTTTACGTTTCCTTCGTATATTGTGGCAAAAAATAAAAATAAAGCAGTTAAAGAGGGTATCAGAGTATAGAGGAAGAACCAACATCTTTCTGATGAAAAGGAAATGGAAGAGTGTCTAAGGCTGTTAAGGAGCTTCATCTAGATCAAGAGAGGGGAGATGTGTCTAAGGATGACAAAGCTATGAGATGGACTGTGAAGCAAAAATTTGATCGATTGGCTATAAAGGTGAAATTAGATGGAGGCAGAGAGCAAAAATTAAGTAGTTGAAGGCAAGTGATACAAATTCAGCCTTCATTTATAAGATGGTGAATGCGAGAAATAGGACCAATTCTATTCACTGCTTGAGAAATGGTGAGGAAGTTGGGGAGCCTGAAGCTGCCATCAAAAAAAAAAGCTATTGACTAGAAGGGATGGGAAATGATAGCACTTGATGTGATGAAGGGTTTGGTGATTTTTTGTAGAGATTATAAGAGCTGATCTCTTGTTTGGGAGTATATTTATATTGTGTATCCTATGTACTATATCATTGTACGTTGTTCTTATTGTTCTTTTATTTTTTCTTATACTTGAGAAGGGTACAATAGTCCTTTTTCATCTTTTGTATCTCATTAGTATATAAGACAACTTGCTTGGGCATGTGACACATGAGACACACCTTTCCCTAAGTCAGAAGGTGCTACACATGCAAGGGATTTTAGGCCAATCAGCTTACATAATAGCTTCTATAAAATTATTGCTAAGGTGTTGGCTCAAAGAATGAAGAAGGTTCTTGGGTCTATAATTTCAGAGTAGCGAAATGTCTTCGTCTTAGGTAGACAAATGATGGACAGTGTCTTAGTGGCAAATGAGATTATTGGCTCAAGGAAAAGAGAAGGGAGACCATGATTGTTGCACAAGATTGACTTGAAGAAAGCTTATGATAATGTTAACTGGTACTGATTGGACTATGTCCTCGAGAGGATGAATTTCAGGCAAAAGTGGAGGAACTGGATCTAGGAATGTGTCACTAATGTGAAATTCTCTATCTTAGTGAATGGGCAAGCCTCCAGTTTCTTTAAGAGCTCAAAAGGACTAAGACAGGGGAATCCCCTCTCCCCTCTGCTTTTTATTTGTGTGAGGGAGGCGCTTACTCAATTCATTAAGAGAGTTGTCAATTTAGGGCTTTTGGAGGGCTTTGGTGTTTCACCAACTGGACAGAAGGTTCAGGTCCTACATTTTGCCAATGATACAATATTTTTCCTTTGCAACTCACTAAACCAGCTTTCTATCTTAAAGAGAAACTTAACAATCATGTCGCTTGTAGAATTAGAGCAAAGTTGTTGAAATGGATAGGTGCATATGGTATGTTGTATGACCAGTATAACTAGTGAGACTAAAAGGAAAAATGAGAACATTAGAGAGGACTTTAGAGTAGCTCTGATTAGTGATAAGATGCAAAAAAGGTGAACTGAGATGGTTTGATTGTGTGCCAGACTGACAACCATTGAATGCACCAGTGAGGAGTGGTTTAGTGCAAGTAGAAGGCTTTAAAAAAGCAAAGGGAAGGTCAAAAAATACAACATAAGTGTTGTGTTAGATTTTTTTGTCCTAATCATAGGAGGTTGGGACTAATATTCCCCTATATATAAGATGGTTGGCTTTGTGATTTTGGTGGCAGTTTGTTTATTTTATGGTTAGGGATTAGAAATCAATTGTATTCTTATTGCCTATTTAGTGGAAAAAGAGATCTACTGAACCTTGAGATTTAATCTTTGGAAAAAAAAAAAAAAAAAGAAAAAAGTATCAGCAAGTGGATTTAAACAATGGCAAAGATAATTTGATAGGGGCATAGGAAGAGATAAAATCAACCCACAGAATTGAGACTTAATCAACCGAAAGATCTCCATTTTCCTAATACAAACCAAACCTCAACCTGAGTGCCAGCAAGCCCATCAGCCATCAAATTGGCAGGTTTACAAATCCATCCAAACAAGACGTTCAACATGATAGCTAAAGATGTAGGAATTAGTTTTTCTTTGAAAATGGTTACATTCACATTAATATAATGACGTTTGAGAGTCATCTCTTCTATAACCAAATAAATTCCTAAGAGGAGCCAAAGATCTTCTCTATAGAAGCACTAAAAGCTCCATTCTAAAGAAAAAAAATGTAATTTTGTGATAACTCTTAAGCACTAAAAGCTCCATTCTTGGATGTATTTATGTTCTTGCACGTGTCTTTAACAGATTGGGTAATCACTGGCGCAGCACCTTACAGTGATTCCATTGCAGAGCTACCCTCTTTTATATTTGTTTATTTGCTAAGTTGCCGATCATACAGTAACTTCCTTACAATAAAACTAGAACAATTTCGAAACTCTCAGGCGACTAATTAATCTTGCCAGCATTTGTTCAAAGAATGCTGGCGGCCCTGTATATAAGTGATCGTAATCTCATCAGTACCTGTGAGGCTTCTAGTGATAGAGTCGTTACTCAACTAACCTACATTCAAAATATATGCATCAAAATAGCTAATGATCCAGATAACGAATCAAAACGATAAAGAATAATTTTTCTTTTTTTTTTTTTT